TAAGATACGTTATATATTTATATATTTAATATTATATATTTTTCAATTTTAATTTTATTTTATTTTAGCATTTGTTACGCTAGTATGTTATGATCGATTTGAAAAACCCCATAAAAAACTTGATGGGGCATTAGCAATTCCATATGATCTCAAAAATATAAAAAGCTTTGGGAACATTGAAAAAGAAATTTTATCACGCTCACTTCCTGAGCATTGGGGAAAGATTAAATTAGGTCAGATTTGTTATCAAATTTCAAATACAACCAAAGCAGATCATTATGATTTGAAATCAGATGGGGCTATTACTGCATTTATTTCTGAAGTCAAATATAAAAAAAATCTCCAATTGTGCATTTATCAAGAAAACAATGAATCCATTAGAGCTAGCAAAAGAGTTCGTGTAAGTATCAAAATAGTTTAATATTTAAATTTTATTTATATTAATTGTTATATAATTTATTATTAGACACTTGAAATGGAATCTGACGCAATTAATACATTGAATAATATCAAAAAAAAGATTTATAAAAATCTTCCATCGTGTGAAATACATATTCAAGGTTGTTTGATTTCTGACATAGACGACATTTAAAATTGGATGGTGATTTAATAACATTGTGGGCTCGCGCAATTGTGAGCTTTTTTTATAATTTATATATTGAATATTTATTTATAAATACAGTATATATATATATTAAATTTTTTTTTATATGTACGTATATAAAGATAACTAAATTGCAAGGTGTTGATGAAAAAACACCTCCAAATATTCCATCGTTTGACAAAAATAAATATCAATACCCAATTTCTAAACAATTTTCAAATGAAGGTAAATTATTGCAGTATTGTTTTAATGTATATATATTTAAAATTTTTTAATATGTACATATCACTGGTCGAAATCAAAAATATTATCCAAATATCTTCAACTAATCAGCCTAGAAGATAGCCTGGTGATAGCTGGGCGATAGGCAGGTGATATTAACCCGATTCATTAAGAATAAAAAAGCCGATAGCGTAAGATTAAAGAAAATATGTTACATATTGGTGTAATGATAGATAAAACAATATATAATCGGTTAAAAGATATTATGACGATTAAATTTCATCATCAAAGAATCACCAAGAAGATTAAAGGCCGATAGGCTGTTGATTAGTAAACGATTTATTAGGTATGAGAAAAGCTGATATGCTTAAGATTATAGAGAAATTAGTTACATATCGGCTAAAGTATTTTTTGAAAATTTATATATCATTAAAAAGATATAGGGTGATATGTGTGAAGATATTTATGA